ACACACACACACATCCATGCATGCATGCATGCATGCATGCATACATACATGCATGCATACATACATACAATCCCCCCCCCGAATCCTACATGCATTGGAATTTACTACATACGTTTTGCTTAGTTTAGTGTATACATCTTTACTTCCCAAACAGCCTGGAAAAGGAAAAGGAACATACCTGACAATGTATACATTGGTTGAAGGGCAAGATTTCCACTAATGCCAAATGAACCTAGGTGAGAACGAAGTTTCTGTTCAAGAACTCCCTGCAAGAAGCATAAAAGAGGAGACCTACGCATTAATAGATTCATTGGTAAGCCATAAGCATCTAGTTTAATAACAAAAACAAACCAGATGAAAGATCCATTGTTATATTGCTCATCAATCCATCAAACATTAATTATATCAGATGAAAGAAGTTCAGGAACTAAAAACATTTTTAGTAGACTCCCTCTGTCACATAAAAAGAGTCTTAATTCACCAAGTAACAACTTTTAAATTTTGGAAATAACTATTGAAAGTAATCGTTAAATCTAATTGTTGGTTTGAGGCACTCAACTTATTTGACACTTTTTTATCGGAAATAACATTAAATACGATATGTTGTAAAATAGGACGTTCTTTTGGGACAGATGGATTACTAAGATTGATCTTTCTTTCTTTGTATCGAAACTTGAGATTTTCCTACAGAATAAAAGCATAGGATAAACCATTCAATTACGATGTGCTACGTGAACATGTGCCATGTTTGCAGACTTGCGGGCAACATAAAGGATCTTGCATAAGGTCATGAATTTGCATGTACTTGCGAGTGCATGCAATGGGTGTCTTCTACACAACAAACATAGACATAAAGAATGACAGAAGTGCATAGGCTCTTGCAGACTTACAGGGAAACAGCGCATCATATAAAGCAAGGGATTTGAAGACATGTCTAAGCCATCAACATGGTGCTGGCTAAATACAGCGATCCGGACCTAAATGTATATAAAATTCAAGTAAATTATGATCAATGTTATGCACTAAAGGTAGGACTTTGAAAAGTTAACCTGAATAGGTTGTGATGAAATTTATTTGCAATTGCTGACACAAACATAGTTTTTATTTATATTATAAAACATCCTGATGTTTGACACAACAAATGGCTTGTGAATCAGTTCTTTCAACAAAACATCTTGAAAACCCTAGCACTTATAAAGTAACATGTGAATATGTGATAGATTTTAAATCATTTAGGACCACTAGAATTTTGTTTTGGAAGGTTTTGGAGAGAAGAGCTTGGATGGCTAAGCGTACATTTCATATGTATACATCTTGGTATATACGGAGTATTTAAGATTTTATAAAGACTGAAAAATACAAAATTTCAATCATCCTATACTAATTTTAAATAACATTATACTTACTATGACCGGGATTAAGCCCTCAAAAGCCTTATCCCCTAAAACACTTGATGAATCAACCATTACATGCACTAAAGCAGGCAAGAAACAGCACATGAAGTTTTAAGTAAAAGATTTCACAAGATACCTTAGCAGAACGAAACACCGTTCCTGAGGTTGGCTGAAGCTCACCAGAAATTAGTTTCAATATGGTTGACTTTCCAATGCCATTTGGACCAACCACTATAGTGAAGTAAATCATGAAAGTTCACACAAAAAAGCACTAAATATAATGTAAATATGAACATTTTGTATAGCGTCTAAAGTAGACAGAATATTGTAATAATTTGAATTCTGAGTACAAGTGTACAACACTTTTTTAAAGAAAGTAGAAATAGTTACGAATATGCACAAAACAAACATGTGCCCAAACATATAAATGCCTCCTTTTACATCTTCAATTCAACTTACTCTTGGTCAACCAAACTTCTCTCAAGACCCACGCTCCAAGATTCCACTCTCCATACTGGGGTACGTACTTCTCAATGAGTGATATGAAGAAACTAACATGTCAGGTTACAACCCCCCCCCCC